GAATTAATAGGAAGATATAAGCGTAAACAATTTTCTGATGGTTGTGACAAAAGGAATTTTTAAATGAGAAAGTCGAAATTACATGTCGCTCGACTTATTAAACTACTTTAGGGATAAATGAATATTAAAAGGGGTTTACAAAGGGAAGTTAGAGATTGCGAACAAGAAGGATAAAATTTAAATGTCTGGCAGGAATGTAAAAAATTTGCCAGGACAGTGATCTGAAAAAGGAAGAATGCGAGAAGCTTAAACACTCAGGCTGTGAAAGGTAAATTCCGAAATTCGCCGGGGATTGAGATAAAAGGAGTGACACCGAAAAGCCCGTTGATCCGAAGTTCGCCAATTGATACGGGGATCCTGACAAAAGGAAAGTCGATCGTCGAGCTAAACAATTTTCGAAGTTTAATATTCAATGGGGACAAAAAGCCAGGGAAGAAAGTTTCACGATAAGAAAAAGAGGCAACGATTTTACAGATTTTAACCTGAACACGACGTGTGTAAGTTGCCAGAAGATTATCCGTGGCTTCGGAAAAATTTAGAAGCCAGAAAAAAAATATTATCTGACTTAAGCCGCGTGGAATCCATGGGAAAAGGAACGAGTTTTGCGGGATCTCCGGAACAAAAGGACGCACAAGTTTTAGGATAGAGTCCGGAAGAAGCCGTGGAATTTCTGGCTACAGCTGGGAAACCGTGAAATTCCCAGGAAAAAGCCGCGACGTAACAAGTTCACCCGGTGCCGTTGCCAAAATACTCTGCGCGAGCGACGGAACAATATCAGGAAGCGTGGCAATTTCACCCCTCTTCCTCGGAACGCAAGAAACGCGAATCAAATTCTCGTGAACTGCCTGGGACGGAGAACGCGAATTAAATCTTCGTGGGTAAAAACAGTGTGGCTCGCTACGTCAGAGAACAGATAATTCCCTCGGCGAAAATCTAATTACGATAAAAAAGAAGCTACCAAAGAGAATTCAGAGTGTGCGCAAGAAATCGTACGTAGCCTTTAACAACTGCTACAGCGACGGTATTAATTTTAAGGGGTCGAAGAACAAATTTTGCCAAACAGGAACGCAGATTTTCGTTCGTAGAATTCGACTTTAGGAAGAAACACATTCGGAATACATTTGGTAGAAAACTTTGCCGGTCAATGGAGATGCTCGAGGGATGAAGGCGGAACGGAGTGGACAGTGGAACGAGCGCAGCGTCAGCGCGAGGGGACGACGATTTTCACGATGCAGTAAAGTCGAGACACGTCGTGGGCACCAAATTTGCTCCCGAGACGGACGATGAACGAGCCCGGTCGTAAGACCGAGTGAATCGGAAGTGGACGTTCGCTGGACGAAGAAGAAAGAGAAAAGAAAATTGTCAGGGGACACTACTACATGAGATTGAAGTGAAATCTTGTTGAAACGTTCGAGGCGTGGGAAAGTCGATTTGAAGAAGGGACGGTTTGCAGACCCAGGTGGGGTTTGGTCGGACTCGAATTAACCGAAGCGGTGAGGACCCGAGACCGGAAGAGTCAGTGAAATAATTGGGCCGGAGGTGTGGGCTCGGAGGGAAAAGTCGGCGGGGGGTGTCGGGGATAGAATTTCAATTAGAGGGGCAGGGGCTGGCCGTTCGTCAAAGCTGGCGACGAAACTTCTTCACCTCGACTTCTTTCTCTCTTACCCCGCATAATCTGGAACCTGAGAACTTGAGTGCATTAGACGAGCTAACTCGTGAATAGCAATTTGTTCGTGTTGAAAACTTAAACGAATGTCTCCGCGCGTGATTATAGTCGCGTCTTGCGTGAACAACGGTCACTGTGTGTGTAATATTGAAAACAAGTGTCACAGGGTGAATAAAGTGTAGAACATAATAGGAGAGACCAAGCTTTTAAAAGAGATTCTATAAAATTGCGGGAGCGCCGTTGAACAATTTAAACTAGTAAGAAGAAAACGAAAGTGAGAGAGTGAGTTAACAAAAGGGATAATATCGTTTTGATCACTGTTTAAATAAGATAATTTGTCCGGTGCGAGAAAAAAAAATAAGTGTACGGGGAGAGGAGTCGAGTGACTCTTGGACGTCGGCGAAGCGGTTCCATTAGCGGAATTCCCCGGTCGAAAGAAGCAGGGTAATTAAATTGATCGATCCGAGGGGTAATCCTGCAGGCGGCAACGGACTTGATCCGTTTAACGAACTGCAACGAGGACGAGGGATGCGCGCGAAATTAGTCGGCCGACGAGTAGGACGAAGCGAAACAATAGAGAAAATCAGACGGCGGGCGTTCGAAGAACCAAGGGAAAACTGCGAAATTGTCGAAGTGGTAGGGGTCGAAATTGGGTTAAAAGCAAGTTTTAGTCGCGAACGATGATGTTTGTCAAGTGTTGAATAGCAAATCCTGCAGCTGAAAACAGTTTCAACCGTTCTCCCTTGAGACAGTGTTGAAAAGTGCTGGAATAATCGCAGCAATAGCTTTACCATTATTATCGTAGGAAATTAAACGCGCACAAGCCTAACGTATGTAATTGAATGAGTGGGACGAAGAATCATAGAAAAACGAGTTTGCCGATGAAGGAAAGAATAAGAGGAGGATGTTAACATTTAGGTAACTGTTCACATGACAGCAAGAAAGTATCTCCTCAGTGCTGAGAAATATAAAAAAGAACGAAGTTTAAAGATCTCATTGTTTCTCCATATTTAATGATCGCATTTTTCCAAATCGTTGCTATATTAATCTATTATTCAATAAATGAAATCAAACCAAAGAAGAGCCTTCCAAAACTTATAATAGTCAACCCTCGAGTGAGAACCACGTCCACACCGAAAAGAATAAAACTGACAAAGGTCAGCCGCAATACTAAAAGAACTGTGACGATCGTAAAAAAGCATAAGGATCCAGCGACCTTGGGCCGTGAATTATGACATCTGTAGCGGGCGATCGGTGATCTATCGATCGTTGGTTCGTTTCGCGATGGAGCTTTCTTGGCGTTGTTCCATCGACGCGGCTACAGCGGCGTACGTCGAGAGCCCGGGCTCGGGTTCGGGGCTTTATTCGGCCGGAAGTGGTCCGTCGTGGTTCGAGAGGACGCGGGGCAGAGGCGCCATAGCATAAACTGAAACTAAAATGCGAGAACTGAACGCGACCGCATGCGCTGCCCTGTACGATCGCGTCGAGTGGTCCGGCCCGTGGATCCTTGCTACACTGATCGTTCTAGCGATCGTGAACGTGATGGTGGTTCTGGGCAACGTGCTCGTGATTATGGCCGTCTATCATACAAGCAAGCTGCGCAACGTCACGAATATGTTCATCGTTAGCCTCGCTGTGGCTGATCTGATGGTCGGCCTAGCGGTGCTTCCATTTAGCGCCATGTGGGAAGTCTTCAAGGTGAGTTTACGTTCCCGATTTATTCCGAGCCTCGTGAAATCGCGTATCACGATTGCACCTATAAATCATGTACGATGTTTAATGTGAGAATTAAGAGGACTTTAGGAAAACCTTGCTTGTCTAATTTTAGCTGTTTCATTGATTCGAAACGTGATTTACTTTTTGTATTAGGGAATATTTTCTACATATGTATAAATACATTCTGCGGAGTACAAAATTTTATTTATATGACTAAGTCGAAGCGATTAAGGAGTGGAGTTACTCGGTTTCGAACGAAAAAAAGTTATACATTTTTACCTAGCTAAAAATCGCGGTTGGAGAACCGGATACGTAACGAACGTTTAACGGGCCGCGGTATTCTCGTGGCGGTCGTCGCAATATTCCGTCTGGCACGAAGTTTCGAATTTCACCGGTCTCGAGGACTCTCGAAACTCCGAATTCCAAGCCGCGGAACTCGGCAACTCATCACCGTCGCTTCCCCTCGAACGAGAGACGCCATTGCACTCTGTCTGAGAAAAAAGAAGGAGAAGTACAGGAATGATCGATTGCTCGGTGGGATCATTAAACGGGCGAGAGATCAAAGGCCAACACGCGTAGTATCAGTAGTGTTTCCGATGTTCGTACCCGCTTTGAGGGGTTGCCGTTCTCTTTCGGAGGATTCACGCGTTTTAATCTTGCGGTATAAGCGTGTTGCCGTACTTGGCAATCGTTTCGGAAGCGCAGAGAAATTTGGGTCGTTTTTTTTATCAAACCTTAGAATCACTGTTAATATCACTAAATTGTATGACAATAACAAAAACATGCATTCACTGTTTAATGATAATCCAAAGCAACGAGGGAAAATCTATTTTAATCATCATTAAATTATGAAATCTAGCTTTAGAATTGTTCGTATCCTACCAAACGTCCTTCCCCGGAAACCCATTCATTCTCCATCAAAGAACAATCTCATTGTCTCTCGCATTACACGCAACGAAATAATCCTCGACGACGACTAAAAGTCGGGAAAAAACTCACTCCTCGGTCTCAGTTATTGTTCGCAAAAACGCACGGGAGGGCTGGGTTGCTAAAAATATCCCGGGACAATTATCGTCGACTATTAAAGCAGACTGGAGCCTGAGCCCTGTCGATGTATACGTATACGTACAGCTGTGTATAGTATGCATTCCGACGCATCGCTATCATCCCTCGGAGACCCGAAGAATTTGCGGTAAAAAGCGTGCGGGCGAAATAAACGCGGACCCGGAATCGAGGGGGTGGGTCAAGCGCAACAGTTTGGCGGGTTCTCTCGGTCTTCCGTTTCTTCCTCGCTGGCTTCCGTGATTCACTCGCCAAAGGATAAACGATCCTGGACGAGGAAGGACTCGAGATTATTGCGCACGGTATCAGATTTCAAACCGACTACATTTTTCTCTGATGAAAAAATCGGGAATTTTATTTTCTTTATAAATAATAAAAATATTTTTTTTTTTGCTTTTCGTACGAATAATTTGTTGAGTCTGGTACCACGCGACGGAGAATAGACTCATCAGATTCCAATTAAATTAATGATTTACCAACGCGATGTGAATAACTCTAGTGGTAAAGGCCTTCGAAATTTGTCACCAGGCATAGTTGTTTTAATTGCATCCCCTGCCCGTTAGAAACAATTGAACATGCATCGATCACACTTAATAATCGGTAACAGTTGAATCGTTGCTGTGTCCGCGGTCGGCTGAAGAGATATTAGCATCGCGAAACGGTTACGTGCAAAATATTCCGGTGGTCAGTACTCATTAATAACGTGGCACGCGCATTATCGAAGAAGGATGGGGTTCGTTGGGGGGTTGATTAATCGAATCGAACAACGGCGTGGACAGGAGTCCGTGGGTAATTCGAAACAGGTGGTTGGAGCGGGCACGCGCGTTCGCTTCTAAACTCCCTTTCCCTGTTGCACCTGCTGCTTGCAATCACGGGGTTGTATTATGCGCGACAAGCCAGAGAGGAGAGCTCGATCGACGTGTCACGGTGTATTTTCATCTTACCCGGGGACAATTTGTCTAGAAACGCTTTGTCATAATGGATAGTTGATGGCCTTTGATCGACTGTGCAGGGAAACTTCATTGAGCTCAATTTGAGATTAATTACTAAACGATAAGAGTAAATTATTGTACTGAAATGTCTTGTCTAGTGATTAAGCAAAGCAGATTTGAAGCGGTGAAAACTCAGAAATTAATCAAAATATTTAAATCATGTGTCACATGAATTACAAACTAAATAGTAGAAGTACAAACGAGGTATATGAGTAGAACTATTGTTTTATGGATTCTTATGTCTTATGTTCGATTGATATATCAAAATGGAAAATTAAAGCTCATCCGGACATTCAGTGACAAATCCGAACAAGTGATTAAATAAAGGATTAATACTTAATCAAGTAGTATTGGAGAACAAGAGGGATCACGATCAAAATCAAAACCGAAATCTAAACTATAATCAGAATCCCAATTGAAATCAGAATCATAATCAGAATTAAAGTCGAATTTGAAAGCACAATTCTAATCAGGGACCGAATGAAAGTCGAGGTCGGAACCACAACTCCAATAAGAATCCGAACCAGAATGAAAATCGAAATTGAAGCCACAATTCTAATCACAGTTCGGATTAAAATCTGGACCAGAATCACGATCAGAATCAAAAGTCAAAATCGGAACCATAATCAGAATCAGAATTAAATGATGGCCCTATTGATATGCCAAGTGTGTAATAAAAGTAAATCAAAACGTTCTTTTATTTTATTTCACGACATTTGAACGAACCTAATTTTATGCGATACGATTAATCTCATTTCCGACCAAATCTGGACATGGAATTGGTTTGCCAACTAACACGTTCTACTGTGATTTACTATCCGAAGGTCTGGATATTCGGTGATCTATGGTGTTCCATTTGGCTGGCGGTGGACGTATGGATGTGCACAGCTTCGATATTGAATCTGTGTGCCATCAGCCTCGACAGATACTTAGCGGTAACCAGGCCAGTCAGTTATCCCCAGGCAAGTACTATCCACCGATTACTCGATTTCGCGGGACAGATGTACAGCCACGGGGTCGTTCGATGAAACCATTTGTCTCTTAGAACAGTCCGTGTCAGTGACGCAACGTTTCAACGGGTTAATTGCCCAGATCGTTTGTTGAACTTCGGTTTTCGTGATCGTTAGACCAGAGTTGCATCAAAGCGTAGAATCGTGCAGCTAGTTTGATTTACGTAGGTCTCTAGGCAATCGAGTGTAACGATTTAATTTCAGTACAACGACATATAATGCATAATAATCTGAATACCATTTAAAGTGAAGTACATGTTAAATCTTCTAGTATCTAATTAAAAGTTTTACTTTGAAATAATCATTTTAATTGTTGTAACGAGTGATCATTGATCAATCTTCTAATTGAAAAATTTAGATCATGTCACCGAAAAGGGCGAGATTGCTGGTGGCAACTGTGTGGATCTTGAG